AATGGAAAAGGAGGGAGAGCTCCTCCACTCCTCTCCCTCCTATAAGTCCCGAAAAGAACCACAGAGGGCCAACGCTCCAGGGTCCGTGATGAGTGGAATAGGTGCAGATGGAGGTGGGGCATAAGCACCAGATCGAAACAGGAGGCAAGTTCGAAGCCTCCCCCCCTCCAATTCTCGTTGTAGTCCAGAAGGAGAAAAACAGGGCCAAGACTGCAGATGACATAGCGGTCATGGGGGCCGAAGTAAGTGGAAGACGGCAAGGTCAATGGCTCCCCAAACACAGTAGGGCCAAGCCCCAAGCTCTTCCAGGTGGCCGAGCCGGCGAGTGGCAAAGCAGCAGTCGCAGCAATCAGGGCGGCGGTCGCAGCAAGGTCGGCGCTCCACAAAGCAGCTGGGCCGCGGCGTCTTCCAAACAGCTGAGCCGCAGCATCCTCCGAACAGCGTCAGCGTCTTCCGCAAACGGCAGCCTTGGAGAGCGATATCTCTCCCATTCACTGCTGCCACCAGCTCCCCAATGAATCGCTCCTGCCTTGCTCTCTCCCCCGCTCAATTCCCGAGAACGGTTTCACCTCTTCTCTAGATGTGACTCAGTTTTGGACAATTAAAAGTAAAACCATTTGTCATGTTGAGCAATTGCTTTGTGTTCTCTGTTCTCTCATGCACATTGAGCAACAAATACTTCCAAGTTATTCCAACACAAGGAAGGCTGCCATCCCATTCATTTTGTGGGCTGCCGTTATAGTATGGCGTTTACTTTTTTTTTTTAATCAAACGTCCTTAAAAACAAGGAAGTTACTCATCACCCAATAATAATTTAGCTTAATCCAATATCTACTTAGCCAGCAAGAGATTTGTTAATGGAACTAAATAAAAATGCCCATTTCTAGTTGTCCATCACCCGAATAATAACAATTTAGCTCCACCCCAAATGTACTTAGACATCAAGAACATTTATGAATGGAGCGAAATAAAAATGCCATTTCTAGCCCAGATTAAGGCAGAGATGATTACTGAAGCTCCTATTATGTTGCCAGATGATAAAAAGAAAATCCCTTCCATTCTTAATGGTAGGTCTTTTTTAAAGCACCCCCCCATCTCTTGCCTCTCTCATGTTCCCCATTAGAATACCTGTAATCAGATCATCAGCAGAAGACAGCCAGTCCAGGAGGAATCAAGCTAGCATGATGATCAAAAGTGCAGTGAAAATCTTGATTCTGGATGGGATTACTTTTGCAAAGAAGTCATAGGAAATAAAACTTGAATCTTCTTTCCACCTCGCGTTGCTCAAGTCCAGTGTCTTGTATTCATGTAAGGTGTCTGTCTAACCTTACACGTGGTTATAGAAGATTTTGAGAGGTTGGAGAGAAGTATGTAGGAATATAGACTAGAATCCAAAAATTGTCAACAGAAAAAAAAACTTCTCCACTAGACATATACAATAATCACTTCTCCATTTGAAGATGTTTTTAATTACCATATTTTTCAGAGTACCTTTTTCCCCCCAAAAAAGAGGTGAAAATCTGGGTGTGTCTTATACACTGAATACAGCATTTTTGGCTCCTGAAACCCCTCTCCCTTTGCAAAAATGGACTTGCAGAGGGTTTGGGAGGCCTCAAAGTACTCCTAGGGGGTTGGGGAGGGCAAAAACAAGTGAAAAACAGGCCATTTTTGCTCATTTTTGCCCCCCCCCCCG